GGGGCAACTAGCACCCTGTCAGGGATCAAACGGCTAGCTAGAGAACGTATATGCCGCCAGTATAGAAAATGGTGGAAGCAAGATGCAACACCCCGCTATACCCAACTAGGGCTTAAGGCTTCCCTTGCCTGCCCCCCTGAACTAGCCCTGCCACGGGCTATACTCCATCATCTCCTAGCAGCCCGGTCAGGCCATGGAGACTTCGAACAATACCATCAACGCTTTAACCATACAGAAGCACTGCTTACCTGCTCCTGTGGGGAGGCAAAGGAGGCAGACCACCTAGTCTACTGCCGAAAGACCTTAGCGAGGAGGCTTCAGTGGCCCACCCTCCACCCCTCTAGTCCACAGGAGCCTATAGGACCAATAGGATCTCTGGATCGATACTACAAGGGGCTAATCACTGATCATGAAGGCTTCCAGGCCTTTCTCTGCGTGACAGATTTCTTCCGGAAGATCTGCCCGCGGTACTAGGGCCTAGGTCTGAACCTAGGCCTTAGTAACGAACCCCCCCCCCCTCGTAGAGGAACTGACGAGTATAACGGAACCAGGGAACCAGCGGGAACTAGGGACGGATAGAACACATAGTAGCCTATGGGCAAGATTTGGAGGACGTTAGGAAGAGGCGTGTACTGTAGAGTATATAGCTTGAGCCTGCGGCCCTCCACGCCATATACCCCTCGGGAGGTCGGCCGCAAGGGCGGCTGCGCCCTTGCCGCCACGGCGTTAAATACAACAACAACAACAACAACAACAACACTGCGATAGACGCAGCTGAGACGAAACGCAACGGTTGTTCGGTCTGTTTCCAAACGGACGATATCTGGATTGAGCTGCAATGGGCGGCGAATGCTAGCAAGATGGTGGCTTTAATGCGACAGATAGGGAAGAAGGGTGGAAGAAATTATTAACAAGATATGGGGAGGAAGAAGGGCACGTGGTTACTCCATGAACGAGGGTACTGAGATTGGAAAGGCAAAAATGAATGCAGTTTGAGGGTAGTGTTCCCAGACTGAAAAGTGCAAACGTCATGTTCAGCGACGGTAGAATAAATAAGCCAGAAGTAGCGATCAGGCTTAGCATGCTTCTGGGTATTATTGACGTGTCTTTTGCTGCAAATCTGTATAGGTTGTAAGACTGTGGTAGGGAGTGAGGACGTCGTATGAGTGTAGATCGGTTTCTACCGATTTCATTGGCCACGAAATGGTGTGAATGGTATCACGACCCACCGCAGCTACATAAGGTTCTTATCCGGTTAAGGTGTCGGCTCCTTCGGGAACAGAACGGTGTCGGGAGTTGTTTGATTGAGTGGGTTTCGAAAACCGTACGTGACGAATGAAAATGGTTAAAAGGAGCGGCTGCGGCTGAGACGTTGGAGATTGTGAACATGGGATAGTGATCCCTGAGAGCTTGGCTGGAGGGGCAGCAAAAGCAATAACTGGGAACCATTTCGGGCCAATCATTTCGGTCATATCTCAGGAAGAGAAAAGTGGAAAGACACGGCTCTTTTGGGGTGGTCTGCACACCTACGCCACCATATTCAACACCAATTAATCCATCTCGTCTTTTCGCAAATGGTTCTTCATCCTAGTTTTATCCATTAATTACTATAATACACTACACCTATGCACTGCTGCCAACTCATTCTCCGCGGTTTCAAGCGTATGTGAGAATAGACTACGGCACATATGTGTGGTGGCGTTACTTAGCTTCAATCTGGGGCTTTTGGATGGCTTTTCGCATATCCTCTGCGTGCTGAGGTTATCGTAAAGCAGGTTGCTAATCTCTATGAACCTCTCAGTATACTATAGCGATGACCTGATGTACCTCGCCACACTGCGGAGATTCCTCACTAGACCCCTCTTCCTCTACATTCCTCAATCCTCTTCGGCGTTGCGAATTTCAATTTAACGATTGGAACTCTGCTGGGGCGTCGCTTGATGAATACTACGAGGATAGGGCCGCACCTATCATACTAACTGCGTAGCCAACGGATTAAATACACCGCTATTCTTAACCTTTTTCGATAGAACATTATAACATAGACGGATAGAGAGGGCCTTCAGACAGGCACTGTTGTTGCTAGCGATGTGGAATATTACTGCCACCCTAACTCGTTCTAGTGTCCTGATATTGTGGACAGGTAAACTTACCTCATCGTAAGAACGAAGTTCTTTTCGACCTAGGCACTAGGTTAACAGTAGAAAATTCATTGTATGATATTCGGTTGACTCGATTGTTAATGAGGTGACGTATTAAGATAGTAGTTGCATAACTGTTAGGCGAAACCTACATATTAAACAAGAAGTAACTCTATCTGGATATATCCTATGTCCTTCTTCTCACGACCAATCGCAAGCTACATTCAAGAGGGTCTTCAATCACTGTAGCATGATGGTTCTGATGATCGACAAAGTCTATACAATAACGATATTATACTACAACTTCATATAGAAGGGTTGCTATGCTCACGAATCCCTTTCTCCTACTGTAGGGGTCGTACATGACAGCTCTGGTGAGTAAGGTACAGGTGTTATGGGAATCTGTGACTTGAACGAGACGGACGACTGCGAGGACCCGGGTCCAGGTGAATGGCAATCGCCTTGTGCAAAGGAGGTAGTGGTGCAAAATAGTTCAGGAGAGGCCTTGACGCATTCTCGGAAAGGGAGGGAAGGGCATTCTGCAGTGTCAAGAGCTTTACCTAACCTGTTAGCAAGTCCATTTTTAATATGAACTCTAATGTGAGTTACAAAAACATAGCAAGAATGCATTACACATACCATTTATTTGCATCATTGCTCTAGGAAGAGCTTCGCTGTCCCTGGACGGTGGGTAAATGTGAGGGATTGTCGACGAAGATATCTTGTTGATGGGATGAGATAAAGTAGATGGCGAAGTAGTGGGACCTACGCCGGCGGCAGGAGACGTGGGACCTGCAGGGGCTGGTTTGGAGATATCTTTCGAAAACGATAAACCAGGGCCGGAGTCTGTGCCGGTGCCATTTCGTGCACTATCGACAGGCGTTTCGGGTTCAGGTGAGGAAAAAGAAGAATATTTTGGATAGATGTAGTCGAGGGATAGGTGACGAATGTGACGGGAGGGGGAGAAAGATGGGTCTGGTGAAACTCTGGGAAGTGGTTTTTGTCCAGACGGTGGGGTCGCAGTGGGAGGACTAGCCTGAGGCTTCCGCGACCGACCGCGTCGGAGCTTCACATGATGACCAGTTTGCTCCAGCGGAGGACGCTTTCGAGGCCGACCACGTCCACGCTTCGGCTGAGGCGTATCTTCGGGCCTCAATGGATGCTTCCGCGGACGACCCCGGCCACGCTTCAGCGTCCCCTCTGAGGTGCCTGTCATGGTGATGTTGATGTATGGATTTAGGAAGGGATGCTTGATATTACTGATAAAAAAAGTGAAGGTTGATGTGGAATTAGGATCACATCTTCATCAGAGGAATGTACTACTTTATATAGAAGAAATAAAGGCAGTAGAACTTGAGATAGTCCATTCAATACAAGGCTTAAAGTCACGGATTTCTAGGGTGAGACCACGGTTAGGTTAGTGTGATGATTTACATCCGGAACGGAGACCGCATACGTGGGTTAGCCAATAAAAACGGTAACTTGATCACAACACCGAAAATGATTATGCGGGTTTCAGTGTGGGTCAAATAATACCACAACTATTGGTTAGACATACCTAGAGAACGTGAGGGGAACAAGGATTATGGGACTGTGGTGTAGCTAACAGGTTCTATGAGTACCTGTAGAGGAGTTTAGGTGGGCAATCTCTGTGTAAGTATATTGGACTTACTGCGTCGGTCTAGTTCGTGCGATATCAATTATGAGATAGATGGAAAAAATCTAGAAAAAACAATGGAAGATGTAGTTTGTAGTCATAATGTAGCTGAAGCTCTCTAAAAGCGTGCATCGCAGACATCAGGACGTCGAGTACTGGAGTTCATACGATTGGAATTATCATGAACATAGATACATGTATCTAGGGCTATTATGCAGGTACATAATGACTTGTTAATGCCTGGGCTGAAGGGGTATTATAACCGTTTCTAAGGTGGGAATCTGGTTACTGTGCTGGATTGCGTGATTCGAGTTAAGAAATGAATGTGTGATTACGTACAAGGTCACTTGTGAGAAGGAAATGTATCTCAAGGACCGTTTTTACTATAGGCGAACCATTTTTTTGGTGTTGTACCTTTTCTGATAAGAAACCAGGACCGTGCGCAGATTTTTTCGACCAATCCTGACCAATTGTCAAACCAAATTTGGTTTAGGGATTAGACTCCTAACTGTTAGGGTGGAAAGCCTGCAGGTAGAAGGTGTAGTTGCATCTGCTAGGATACTCTTGCGCTACTATGTTCTAGTTAGCGAGGAGGCAGCACGTCTGCAAGCTATCTGACTTGCTGTTGATGCAGGTAGCAAGCGCATATAATATACTAGCGATGCTACCTAGGTTGAAGCGGGCGTTAAGTTCTGTGATTATCTTCTGTAGGTCCTTGCTGTCCCTAAGCATCTGCTGGTATTCTACGCTATCCCCTGCATCCTAGTGGCTGCTACGTCCCTCGTTAATAGAGAGCTCTTAGACCCCCTGCTGGACGTTTTCATCTCTATTATCCTCCTCCTCCTCCTCCTCCTCCTCCTCCTCCTCCTCCTCCTCCTCTTCCTCTTCTTCCCCTTTATGGTATATATGCTGTTCCTGTGGGAGGTTATATATATTATCGCTGATCTGGATCTCAATATTCGCCCTGTAGTCGTACGCGTGGAAGGCTGGCTCGTGGCGTCGCTAGTACGGATCGCAGTTGCGCGTGCTAGCCTATGCAGCCCATCCGTCCATGAACTGCTGCTGGAAGACATGCCATTTAGCGGAGCTTATGCGCTAGGTGTTCTTCATCCCCAGCCGCCAGCTGGTCTCAACCCCCTCGCCGAGCAGCTGCAGCGACTAGAAGACGCCCACGATATATGCAGCCAGCTTGCATGCTAGCCCCGCCAGCATTCCGCTCTTCTCTGGGGCCGTCTGTCTCTCACGTGAACCCTCGCGCCTGGGGGCCGGCTGCGCGGTCGCCTCGTCCACTATAGGGTGCATAACGATAAACCAGACCTCTCAGGTGCCAGCCTTTGCAACCCTGAAAGTACGCCTAGTGACGTCGAACAGGATACTGCTGACGTGCTTAGCGCTATAGGGCGCTGCGTATCTCTCGAGGGAGAACTTGATGTTGTCGAAGACAGGCCTGTCGCTCCTGATAATAGGGCTGCCCGGCTTGCCGACAATGCTGAAGAAGTTGAGAAAGAATTGCAGGAAGAAGGAGTCTGTAGGCTTCGCAGGGGCGCTGCCTCCCGCGTAGGACCCAAAATCAACTGTGTGCTTCTCCTGGAGCATCTTGAGGGCGTCGGCCGGCTTGAAATCGTCGTTAAGGACCTTATTGATAAGGCGTCTGGCTACAGGTGAGGGGTTAGGAGACGTTAGTTAGCTTCCTCCTTTACTCTTGGTTATATGCCTTCTACCTGCCTGCATACCTTAGAACTTATGGTGCCCTGAGGAGTGGTCAACTGCCCACTAGTGGCCGGCTTGCCTATTGTCGCCTTTATCCTCTTGCTGGTCGTAGACGAAAAGCTTGTCATAGTCTAGGTCAGAGGCAGCACCTACGTCAGAAAAGCCTTTACTATCTGCTAGTACCTCAGCAATAACATCTCCTTTATAGTTTATAGATATCTTAGTATAGTTATAGTATCCTTGCTTTTCGTGGTCTTAATAATATGTGATCTATATTGTTACGGTCAGCTATCCGACAGTAGGGTCTGCTAACAGAAGCTGGAGATTGAGACGTAATAACAGTACACTTGGTCGTGGTCTGGGTCATAGGTCGTAGGCTAACAGTAGATCAGATCTTCAGAGGCTAAGGTGATCAGTCTTAGACTCAACAAGTAATTCGCAGTGAAGGTAAGCTGAGAGTATCCTGAGGATGAATACTAAGTTGATTGCTGAAGAGCTATGGAAGTCTGACCATGAGCCAGGCTCAGGTCATACTATATACAAGTTCTGCACAGTATCTCTTGTGGTGGCTATGTAGGATATCCGTGCTATCCAACATATCCATGGATAGCTGGGATAGCGGACATATCCAACATATCCATCTTTGCCCTGTATCCGTGCTGTTCCCGAAATCACGTGACCTGTACCATAGTTCTTCCTTTCCCGATGGTTCCTGGTTACACCTGTGTTACTGCTTACATATGTTCTGTGTTAGCCGCCGAGATGCCAGGCGGGGCTGTTCCAACGTGTCATGCCTGTCGGGTCGTAACATCAGGTCTCCTCTCCAAAGGTCTTGTCCTCAAGACCCAGCATAAGTAGGTCGTTGGTCCCAGGTTGGGGATCCATCAATCGTGCTTTCTGATTTACCCATGATGCTGACACCATGTCAGGTCGCGTTCAAAAACGAAAGGCTGTGTCGTCGCCTGATAGTCGTCCTGCCAAAAAGACAGTTGAAAAGAATTCTTTACTTTCCGCCATTCTTCAGCGTTCTGTCGTCATGCCTGTTTGCTCGTCTTGCGAGCGTCGCGGCTTCTCGTCGTGTGAGGTTTCTCCCTTGGATTCTTCTCGTTGTGCCGAATGCGTTCACGGCGGTAAATCCTACTGTGACCTCCAAGGTCTTTCTGCGCAACAACTCCGGCGTATCGGGGATCAACACCAAAAACTTGAGGATGCCTTGGAACAGGCTGAGGAGGAACGTCGTGCTCTAGACGCTAAGGTCGAGCGTCTTCGCAAACAGAAGAAGATGTGGTTTGAGAAGATGATGCGTGCGGTGCGTCGTGGTATCGATAGTGTGGAGGAGCTGGAGCGGGTGGAACGGGAGGAGGCAGAGGCGGAGCAGCGTCGGCGGGAGGAGGCGCGTCCTTCTTCTGCTGGTTCTAACCATCTTCCTGTGGATTTTGTCGGAGATTGGGATACGGTTTGTCCCGATGTGGCTTTATCTCCTTCCTTGTTGGCTGAGTTTGGGTTACTTGACTCTGTTCCCGTTGTTGCAGAACAGGGTTCTCCGGGGGTGTCCTCGGGAAGCGGTTCTTAGTTGGTTTCTGGTGTTCCTAGGCGAATAAATGGTTTTCCTTGTCGCGGTCGATCTGCTTCGGTGGGTGGTTTGGTGAAGCGATGTGGGTGCTTGATTCGCTTATATCCAGCGTTCTTCTGGACTAGTATAACGGGTGCTGGTGTGACTTCTCGTTCTTGGTGTTGTTGCCAGTAGATCGTGAGTTCTTCCGCTGCGTTGGTGATGTTTTTGGCTGGTTCCCATGTGTTGTCTTCGTGTCCGTATCCTTTCCATTTGATGAGGTATCGATACCCTTCTGGCTCCTTGAGGTGGTCTATGATTCGTTCTACTTCGTACTCTGGTTCATTGTCTTCCACGATGATGAGGTCGTCCGTTCGTGAACCTCGTGGGGCTGGTTCGAGTAGTGAGATGTGAAATACTGGGTGACACTTCATGGTTCCCGGGAGTTCGAGTTCATAATTGACTGGTGAGATTACTCGTGAGATTTTGAAGGGTCCGAGTTTTTTGTAGTCAAGTTTGTCGCTTGGTCGTTTTGTTTTGATGTTTCGCCGTATGAGGTAGGCGCTATCTCCCTCTTTCAAGGTTGGTCCCTCAATCCTTCGTTTGTTGCTAAACTTGGTCATTCTTTGTCGTACGAATTCGAGTTCCTGTCGTGCATTTTTCTGGATATCCTTGATCTGTCGTACTGAGGCGACGGCTTTTACTGCGGCTGGGCCTGCTCAGGGTTCTCCATAGGCGGTTGGTTCGAATCCATAGTTGAGGTAGAAGGGGGATTCCTTGGTGCTTTCTCCAATTGCGCTGTTGTAGGCGAATTAGGCTATTGGTAGCATTGTAACCCAATTGTCTTGGTTGTAGTTAACATAGGCGTGGAGGTAGGTTTCGAGGATTTGGTTGATTCGTTCTGTTTGTCCGTCGGTCTGCGGGTGGAACGCAGTGGACATTGACTGCTTAATGCCGAGGTGTGACATGATTGATTTCCAGAAATTCGATGTGAAGATCTTGTCTCTGTCTGACACAATTTCCTTGGGTGTTCCGTGGTTGGAGATGATGTACTTGAGGAATGTGTAGGCGCATTCTTCAGCATTGCTTGCTTCCTTGTACGGGATGAAGTAGGCGTACTTCGTGAGTCGGTCCACGATGACGAGAACGCTGTCAAAGTGTACTCCCGTAAGGGGCTCTCGTGACTTCGGTAGTTTGACGATGAAGTCGAGGGATATGGATTGCCAGGCGGTTTGCGGCACAGGCAAAGGTTGTAGCATACCATAAGGTTGATGTCTAGCGGGTTTGCTTTTGAGGCAGACCTCACAATCCTTAATCGCTTTTGCCACACGTTCTCTAGTGACCTTTTCTCCATATTGTTGTCGTAGTCGTTTCCAGGTTTTCGTGATACCTTGGTGACCGTGTGCGGGGCGAGCATGAAATTCCATGATAGCTTCGTCGTCTAGTTCGCTAGTCAGGCTAGTACTAGATCGCCCAGCCATCATCAAGAGTTTGGTTGCTGGCACGAGGTCTCCGTCGTTGTTTCCTTTGAGAATCACCTGGGTTTCTTCAGGTACTGGGACGTTGTAGTCCGGCCTTCGGCTAAGAGCGTCGGCTCTGCCATTGTCTGATCCTTTGCGGTGGATGATTCGGAAGTTGAATTCTGATAAGAATTCCGACCATCTAATCTGTCTTTTATTCAACACTTTCGAAGTCGTGAAGTGTGAAAGGTTCTTGTGATCTGAATACACAAGTACTTCGTGGGTGGTTCCTGAGAGCTCAGGTCTCCATTCCTTAAAGGCTTCAATGATTGCCATGAGTTCCTTATCGTGGATCTGATAGTTGAGTTCGGGTCCGTGGAGCTTGCGAGAGAAGAAGGCGCACGGATGTAGTCGTCCTTCTGAGTCCCGTTGAGATAGTTGCGCCCCGATCGCATAGTCGGATGCGTCGGGTTCTACTTCGAACTGTTTTGTCGGGTCTGGGATGACCAAGACGGGTTCACTGGCGATGAGGTCCTTGATCTTCTGGAATGCTGTTCGTTGTGGTTCTTCCCATGTAAAGGGCGTGTCTTTGCGGCTGAGGTTTGTGAGGGCCGCGTTGATCTTGCCATAGTCTTTGATGAATTTGCGGTAGAAGTTGACGAAACCTAGGAATCCTTGGACTTCCTTGAGGTTGTTGGGTACCGGCCATTCCTTGATGGCTTTGACTTTGTTTTCTGACATGCAGACTTTGCCAGGGGTGATGGTGAATCCGAGGTATTCCACTTTTTGTGTGTGAAATTCGCTTTTCTCAGGCTCGACCAACAGCTTAGCTTCTTGGAGGGCTTGTAAGACGTGGTGCACGTCTCCTTTGTGTTTTTCAAGTGTTGGTGAGAAGATGAGAATGTCGTCGAGATAGACTACTACACAAATATCGACGTACTTGCGTAGGACTTGGTTGATCATGTTCTGAAAAGTCGCAGGGGCGTTGGTAAGGCCGAAGGGCATGACGAGATATTCGAAATGTCCTTTTCGTGTCCTGAAGGCGGTCTTCCATTCTTCGCCTTGCTTCATTCTGATCAGGTTGTAGGCTCCCTTGAGGTCGAGAGCTGTAAACCAGTTGGCTCCGTGGAGGAGTCGTCTCATTTCGTCGATAAGTGGCAGTGGGTAACGATTTTTAATCGTCATTTCGTTGAGCATGCGGTAGTCGACGCATAATCGTAGTTTTCCGTTCTTTTTGGGTACGAACAGGATTGGGCTTCCTGCTGGTGACGTTGAGGGTCTGATGTATCCCTTCTTGAGGTTTTCTTCAAGGTATTTGTCTAGAGCTTCCATCTCTGTCTGGTTGAGTCCGTAGATTTTGTTGAAGCGTGGTTCCTTCCCTTTTTTGAGGGGTATTTCGTGGTCGAAACTGGTGTGTTCGGGCAGTCCGGTTTCTAATTCGGCTGCAAAGAGTTTCTCGTAAACTCTGTATTCTTCTGGGATAGACAGAAGTGGATCATTCTTTTGTTCGAGATCCGTCGTTGTCAATGGTTGTGACGTGGCTTCTTTTGCCTTGAGGTAGCAGATGTATCGTTTTGCTGTTTCTTGCTGTATCGGCTCGTTTGAGGCCTGGTTTTGACAGGGCTGCTCAGGGACTGAGTCGTCGTGGTCCCAATGGAGTTGGCCTTTGCTCCAATCTATCCGTGGGTTACTTGTTCGTAGCCAGGGTAATCCTAGCACTATGTCGTATGTCCCTATGTCGGCAATGTCGAATTGGATTCTTTCTTTTCGATTCAGGTAGCTCATCTCGAGGGGCGCAGTCTCATTGTAGATGGTACCTCCTTCGTACTTGAATTCTTCTCCTTCTGCCGTGTGTAACTGATAGGGTCGCTCTTTTCCTCCCCATTGTACTTCTAGCCTATTGATGGCTCGAGGGGCGATGTAATTAGCTTCAGCTCCGCTGTCAATCAGCGCGAGTGTTGTTTGTTCGTTGATGGTGACTTCGAGTTCTATGTTGTTCTTGTGTCCTTGTGACATTTGGTGGATGAACCTTTTCCTTGTTGCCTGTCGTGGTTCTTCGTCGGTAGGCGGGTCTAGTTTTTTGACTGCCCTGAGTGTCCTGGGTAGGTAATTTGCTTTCCTTCTCGTCGTGCCTTCGTGAGGCTGTTCTCGCGGATCTTGATCTGCGGGGGTCTTGGTCCGTTCTTCATGACTCTCCATGCGCGTGCTTTTTCTTGGTAGTGTACTTGGCACTCGTCTTGTTGGCGTTCGTCCCACTTCATGTTGTGGTCATGTTGGCATCTCATAGGAAACTGGGGGCTGGGTCTGAAGACTGCGAGGTGGTCTTCGAACAGTACCATGGTCCATCCGATCATGGCGGATGTCGAGTAAATCTCGCGGATGGGCTCGTCGTTATGTCTTCTGGGGTAGAATTGGTAGTCGTGCTTTTCTCCCATGTGTTCTTTGCATTTGTCGTGGAAACATTGGGACCAGAAGAGGGTTCGGTGAAGTCGGTGGTTGCTTCTTAGTGCGGGATGGTCTTCCGTGCGTATCTGAGGGGTGTAGTCCCGGTCTCGTTGGGTTGCTGAGGTGCCATAAAAGTGGCGTTGTTGCTCGTCTTGAAGCATGTCGATTTCCTGGTACTTCAGGAGTTGCTGGATTCTGTCTTCCTGGTCGTCAGGTTCCTCTTCAGAGCTAGAGTCGTCCACACTGGGGGTGAACCCATAGGTGATCTCTGTCTGAGCACGTTGTCGGGCAACATCGCGAGGTTCGTCCGAGTCATAGGATGAGCTTTCGCCTTCTCCAAAAGTCCAGTTGCTGGTCATACTGAGAAGTTGTTGTTCTGTCAGAGGATCATGCTGATGTTCTGGTTCTTCCTCTGATTCTTGTTGGCGTAGACGCGTTTGTCGGGTATCTTCATGTGAGGTGATTGGTTCTAGTCGCTGGATTCGTAGCATCTCGTTGAGTTGTTCAACTGGCTTTCTGGCGACTCTGCTGTTGCTGGAATGCATCATTGCCAGGGTTCTGGGGCGAGTATCCGGGGCACTCATGTCGTATCCGGATCGTCCAGGGTTGCTGTCCCTTGGGTAGTGTCCTGACATTTCTTTGTCTTCGAGGTGGATTCGGCAGTCATCGTCGTAGCATCCGGTCCAAGATTGGGATGCATGTGAGGCTTTTGCAATCGTGTTGACTTGTCGAGGTCGTTCGGCTACTGGTTTCCAGGGAAGTTTCTTGGGTTGTCTGCAGTCTTTGGCGATGTGGCCTTGCTTGTTGCAGTTGTAGCACTTGGGGTTCCAAGGCTTCCTGTCGTTGGGTTTAGTCATCATGCTGAGATCCATGGGTCCGCTGTGTTGTCCGTAAGCGGTGCTTTGTCGATTGTTGTTCCAGTTGCTGCGGGGTCTGTTGTCGTTCCGCTGGTTGTTGAACTTGTGCTGGGGTTGCCACTGGTACTTGCGTCCCGTGTTGGGTCCTTGTCGTTTTTCGCCCTTTTCTTTGCGTCGTTCGAATAGCCTGTTGTCGATCTTGATTGCGAGGTCGGCATACTGAAGGAAGTCTTCGGGGCGATCGATCTTGACGATTTCGTCCTTGACTTCGTCTTTAAGTCCCTGATAGAACATGAAGATCTTGGTTTCCTCGGTGAGGTCGAGCTGAATGCTGAGCTGTCTGAACATGGCGGCGTACTCCTTGGTTGACTTAGTCTGTCGCAGTTGTGCGAGATCTCTTTCAGCTTGTCGCTTTTCATCGGGGTCCTGGAAGAGAGATCGTAGGGCATCTTCGAATCCCTGAAAACTGCTGTAGATGTCTCGGGTCTCGGTGGAGCACTCGTCCAGGGTTTCGTACTTGAGGAATTCTTCCTGGATGGGTTCAAACCATTTGAGGGCTCGTCCTCGTAGGTAAGTGGCGGCATGGACGACTTTCTCGGTTTGACTGGTGAAGTCTCCATGGTGGAAGTTTTGGTAGTTCTTGACTTGGATCAGGAATGACTTGAGTTGTCCAGGGGTGCCGTCGTAGGTGATAGGGGCACTGAGCTTGAGTTTCTGTCGTCCCCCAGTGGGGGTAGTGACGATGTTGGCAGCAGCCCGAAGGGTGTTGACTTCGTTTTGTAGTTCCTGTATGAGAGGGTTGCTGCCTTGTCCTCCTAGGCGAGCGATTCCGTTTTCGAGGTCCGTAAGTCTCTGGGGTCCGTTGCCGAGCTCCTGGATCATCTGTTTGAGGCCCTGGAGTTCGTTGGCGGTTTCGTTGTACATGGCCTGGACCTTAGCAATGTCGTCGTCTCCTTTCTTGACTCGGGCTCGAAGCTTGTCGTAGGTTTCCTTTTTGAGGGTGACTTCGTCGTCCGAGTCCACTGCCATCGGAGCTCCCTCGAGTTCCTCAGCCAGGCTCTTGACAGGCTGTTTGGAGGAAGAAGAGCTTCCCGGAGTGGGTGACTTGGCGGAGGCGCGTGAAGACATTCTTGTCTGTACTGTTAGTAGGTGTCAATGGTCAACTTACTGAACAGGAGCAATCAAAGTGTTACGGTCAGCTATCCGACAGTAGGGTCTGCTAACAGAAGCTGGAGATTGAGACGTAATAACAGTACACTTGGTCGTGGTCTGGGTCATAGGTCGTAGGCTAACAGTAGATCAGATCTTCAGAGGCTAAGGTGATCAGTCTTAGACTCAACAAGTAATTCGCAGTGAAGGTAAGCTGAGAGTATCCTGAGGATGAATACTAAGTTGATTGCTGAAGAGCTATGGAAGTCTGACCATGAGCCAGGCTCAGGTCATACTATATACAAGTTCTGCACAGTATCTCTTGTGGTGGCTATGTAGGATATCCGTGCTATCCAACATATCCATGGATAGCTGGGATAGCGGACATATCCAACATATCCATCTTTGCCCTGTATCCGTGCTGTTCCCGAAATCACGTGACCTGTACCATAGTTCTTCCTTTCCCGATGGTTCCTGGTTACACCTGTGTTACTGCTTACATATGTTCTGTGTTAGCCGCCGAGATGCCAGGCGGGGCTGTTCCAACGTGTCATGCCTGTCGGGTCGTAACATATATATAGGCTGAGGTTTCCTATAAAACGCCCTCTGTACACTACGCAGGACTACCTACGTGTATATCGTCTGCTAGGAGGAGACCAACCACCTACGAACTAGTTATCCTATAGGTGGCAGGCTGGTTGCTTGCTGCTAGTCATCCTTCTCCTTCTGCAAACCCTGCCATCCTATAGGCATAAGAGGCAGGCACACAGCGGCGTCTACTGCAGTACGCCTGCGTGCCTCCCCAATAGGCGCCCCCAGGGGCAGAAGGCTGATAATGGTCGCCTATAGATAAGTTATTAAACTCTGTCTGTGAGACCTACTTATTAAGGGAATAAGAGAAACCTTATATGTATATGCCCTGCGGGCGCATATGTTTACTGAGACATATTCGATTGGCCACGTCTCCTAAAGGCTAAGACTTAACTAGGGTTCACTTTCTCGCATTTATTGTCTCTATATAGGTGACCCCAGCAGGGCCCCTACGCCTACTAGACTGCTGAGGCGCTGGCCTGTTTCCTGGCTTTAGGCCCCAGCTTCCAGCGTGGCACTGGTTTCTGGCCTGCGGGGGTCGCTGGCACCTGATGCGACAGCGGCGGCAGCGAGGACGAGGAAGGGAGGGTGCTGCGGCGGCGGCAGCTGGGTCGTGCTGCGCGCTCAGCGTCGTCTCTGTTGTTGTTGTTGTCGTCGTCGTCGTTGTCGTCCTCCTTGCTGCTGGTGGGTTGGCGCTAGTAGGAAGACTGCCTGGTTGTAACAGGCGCGTCCCACGTTAGCTGGGTTGGATCGTCTGGGCGGTCTAGCGGCAGCAGCGCTGCAGACCTATTATAGGATGTGAGGAAGGCGTTAACAAGCTCCCCCGCCTGCTGCTGGAAAAACTGCATAGATGCAACGTTATGCTGCCTGCCGACAAGCTTAGACAGGCTGGCGTATAACCCCTGCACAATAGTGGAGACCTTAGCCTCACGCTTGCTCCTCCTGGTCGCGCGCTCTATCTCCTACGATAGGCGCAGCGTGTGGCCCTCCCTATCGGTCATCTGCCAGACAAGCTGCAGCAGCTGTGCCCACAGGATGTGATGGAAGCGCTATGCATATGAGCTGCCGTCTTTGCTGTCCCCCCTCTCAGCCGTTGCGTTGTTATCCAGGAGCGGGAGCAGCTCCAGCGCCTGGAACTCAGTCAGGTTATCCCGCACATAGTTAAGAATGCGTCTCTGGAGCTGGACGGCTGCAATCGCAGGGAAGGACCCAGGAGCCCAGCCCCTGCGCGAGGCCAGCTCGTCCAACGCTATCGACAGGTGCTCCTAGAGGAGGGGCTTATTCTTATCCTAGGGCCTGACGGCGTCGACAGCTGCGGCCTGCTCTGAGCTGATCCAGCAGATCACATGGTGGAGTATGCAGACGGCCGTCTGGATCTCCGTCCTCCTGCAGTGGAGAATACGCCTCAGTTTGGGAAACATGAGCACTAGGGAGTCCCTGATAGTATTATGGACGAGTCGGTAGGTGTTATCATCAAGCGTCGTGAGGAAGCCTTCAACCTGTCGCCTCTGCCCAGGCGTGTAGAATACGCTAGTAATGTTAGGGACGGCTTGGCAGGTTGAGAGCTGGTCCCAGTCAGCTGGCGAGATGTGGTCCTGCTTATCTGCAGGCAGGTCGGCCAGCATAATGAGGACCTCATTAAGGGCATCAACCTAGTACTTATCAATACAGAGGCTGGCTATCCACTCAAAGTATGAGATGTTGAAGGAATCAAGCCCTAACCTTATGTAGCACCACCATATCATGATAGGCCGCCACCTCTAGTGGTTCTACAGCGTGACGAGCCTCTGCGTTAGGAATTGCTTCTCGCTGCTGAGGCGGAGCGCCTTAACGATATGCTGGACAGAGTCATCTGCGCCCAGCTCCTCATCTTCACACCCTCCTATACAGGCGACAGACGCAAGCTGCGTCTAGATCTGCCTGTGGTTATTAGGCAGGTTTAGGTCCCACTGGTTAACACGCAGCTTGATGCTTAGGTTGCGCAGGAGGTGGTCTTTAGGTTTTTTCTATATTATCTATCAGCCTCTTGTGAACCATCCTCTTAGGGCCTGCTTCTTACCTTTGTCGTAGAGCTTGCACACCTACCACAGTTTAGAACCAGGCGCTCCTATCTCCTTAACATACTTGCAGAGCGCCTAGATGCAGTACTAACCAGCTATCACCTCAGCCTTACGCCCCCCAGTCACTTCAGACTATCGTAGGAAGGATAGCTTGCGAGGGCTGTCGTCGTCTTTATTGTCGTCGTTACTATTGTCAGCCTCCTCCACGTCGCCGCCATCCTGCTTTATACGCCTGACTTCCTCAGCGCTGCAGAGGACGGCAATACGGTTCTCAGGCGCGCGCCGTTTCAGCCCGCCACTCCTGAAGGCGTGTAGCAGCTCCTGGACGTAGGCTGGGTTGATTGGGTGGTTCCTGCTGATGCTCCAGGCTGTTTCCAGCATGTCGACTGGCATCCTAGCGATAGTGAGGAGGAAAGGTTGCGCCTGTTCTCACACCGACGAGGTTTCTGTGAAGTGTGCGCCGGTCTCATCTTCCCTCCTGGCCTAGACCCACCTCCTAGACCCTGATAGTGCTGCTGCGGCTGCTTTCTTGTTGTCGCTCTCATCACGCTTCCTCTTCCGCTGCTTGCTGGGCGCTTCAGTCATTACGATAATGCGTACTTCTAGCTGCTGTATTATCTTTATCGATGAGTCCCAGGAGTTCTCCCCCCCTTTGTTTTTTTTTTTTTCCCTCAAGGGTGGCTAAGTGGTTGAGAGGGTGGGAGTGCTGTGGATGAGACGAGACGCATGCGTAGGTTGAGTTGTAAAAGAGAAGATAACAGCTGTAGAAAGGGGTACGTATTAGGCGGTGCAACTGGATATGATTAGCTGAGGCTACTGTGGCGTCCCAACCTGTCAGAGGCTTAGGAGGGGCGGCTAGGAGGGCTGCCCCGCCACGCCACAGCCTGCCATCGCCTAGCAGTAGCATCATAGCAGGCTCATCACAGTAAGGTAGCGGAGGTGTTGACATAGGTACGCTTATGACTATGAATACTATGAGTGCTTATATACTCTATTACTGTCCCTTAGATAGATTACTATACTATCTTACTGCTTTATGCTGAGGATCAGCGCTTGCTTACAGGCTGTATCACTGGTCCCACTAGCACTTAGAGAGCTCTAGGTATATGCCCCTGCATCAGATGAGCGTGGGATAACGAGATGGTGCCTTGTCGAGCTGTACTATATATATTCTGTCCTAATTAAACGACTACTCTAGCGGAGGGATATCTAACGTGAGGTCTGTTATGAGATGCAATATGCTCCCCCCCTAGCCTAAACCACGCTAAGCTATAGACTCACAGGAGAGTGTATATAGACCAGCTGCTTATCTGTATACTATAATATAGATATATATACTATTGCTCATGAAGTGCGTTAGATGGATATCTATACTTAACGGCGTCAGATAACTGTTCCTAGTGATTGAAATTGGTCAGTCTATATATGAGAAATATGTTATGTTAAAACGTGGTGAAAAAAACCCTGCTAAGTGCTGCAGTCGGCTAATTTAGCTGTTTAAACTTTAAAATACTTCTATTCTATCTACATAGTCTGTTTAATCTACTTATATTCTAGTTAGACTACTATGCATAGAGCAGTTCGCAGTTCCCTTCCTCTAACCAAGCGTTTAGAGAGGCTATATGCTCTGCTTGTTGATGCTCACGAGGCTCTTATATAATTGGACGCTATAGGGCGGACTCCAGCTAAACGTCTATCTGGTGTTCTAACAGCTCCACTCCATAACCTTGGATGCATCTGAGGTCCTCTGTTCCTCCCTCTTCCTCCATCTTACCCTGCTATGCTGGCTAAACTGGCTGTCTCCTCGTCGTTCAGATGCATATCTTCTAGCTATTACTCCTCTTACCCCTCTAGTCCTGCGAAACAGGCTTCTTTACCTGCGTATAGCCTAGCTACTGCATTACACTCTTATTACCTGTCTAGAATAACAAGGTTTATTATATAAGCAGCTTCCTCTCTATCCTGCTGGCTTGACGCGTTTGTTTTGCTTCTAACGCAACATCGTGCACTAGTCTGCTTCTAGTAAGGCGCTTACTGACTTGCGGTCTAACACCCCTACTACTGCTCTAAACGTGTAAACAGCGAAGGCTCTGCTTCCTTCCCACGCAGACGCATCCCTAATTTCCTCTCTTCTTCATCTCATCTTCATCTCTATATTTACAGGTGAAAGAACTTATGTTGCTTGGTCGCTGGCGGGCTACGCATGCCTTGCTGGGATACTAATCGCCTCTCCTGCTCTTTCTAACGCGTCGTCAGCTACTATCTGTATGCTCCCCGCGCGTGGAGGGGGATAGCGGTCGCGCCTGCGGCTCTCGCAGACTCAATATGATCTGGGCAGTCGCGCGGATCCCTCGCTGCGAAGCTTGATGAGAACCCTTGCTGGGACTGGCAAGCCACAGCCACGCTTGTGGATGACGGCTCTAGGGAAACACTGGGAAGGTATGGGTGCAGTAGGTATAGGCGCGAACGTCAGGCGCCTTATAGGTGGAAGCTTTATGCTGCAGGTTTGGTGAGGCCTGTGAAGTCTCCTAACATAGTGTTAATACCCTGAAGGCGGAAATTGTTCTTTAGCTATGAGGCATAAGTTGAAGAAAGCCCCTGGGGGCACAGGTTAGGAGCTGCCCCTAGGGGCATAGGTTAGGAGCTGCCCCTGGGGGCACAGGTTGGGAGCTGCCCCTGGGGGCACAGGTTAGGAGCTGCCCCTGGGGGCACAGGTTGGGAGCTGCCCCTGGGGGCATACGTGAGCAGCTGTCGTCATAAACCTAACCCCAAGAGCCTGCGGTCCTACCCACCTACCCCGACCTCCCTACCCCTAACCCGACCTTTGCCGTGCTGTGGGGCTGCGCTACTTCACATATCAAATGGGTTGTCCACACTCTCTTCACATTTTAAATAGGTTGTCCACACTCTCCTTCACATATCAAATGGGTTGTCCACACTCTTCTTCACATTTTAAACGGGTTGTCCACACTCTCTTCACATTTTAAACGGGTTGCCCACACTCTCCTTCACATTTCAAACGGGTTACTTATACTACTCCCTATATTCTTGAACAGTTCCTCATATTTAGACTTACTTTCGTATATTCTCATTCTAACTATAAGACTTTAAATCTAGTTCTTTTTAATAGTTCTAACTATTAGTTTATAGTAGTTCAAACTCTTATTTCAATTATATTTTTATTTAATTCCTTATAAACTTCTCATCTATATCCCTCATTATAGTAAACCTTTCTTTACTTTATATTGTCTCTCACTCTTCTTCTAAAAAACAACTTCAATATTCTATTCTGCTATAACTTTAACTCTCTCTTCCTCTAAATCTACCTTTTTCTATTTCTTTAAACTTATTCCTAAAGTCCTTCGTCTTTCTTCCTTACTATTTCCTATCAGTACAGCTTTTGCGTATTCATTCCATTATAGTCTTAAATACTCTTCTATAATGCTAAGTAAACTTCTGATAATAATATAGTCTTTATTATATTTTGATATCATTCTCTTTTATTATCTTCTCTTACCCTAAGTATATTTCAGTTTCCATTACAGTCTTGACCACGTATTCCATTTCTAAGTATACTTATCTATCTTTCTTTTAACCCTACTACTTAATTCCCCTTAATATCCTATATAATCGTTTTCTTTATAGTTCCTGTCTCACTTTATATTTACTTCTTACTCTCGTTCCTATTAGTTCCTTCTATGAACCTTAGTAGTAATCTTTTTCTCTCTATTCAAAATAACCCCAACCCTTTCATTTTTCTCACCCTAACTCTTTTAACCTTATTCTAAATAACCCTAACTTTTAACCCTATTCTATATAACCCTAACTTTTCTTTCTTTTTACTCCATCTCTTTTTTCTTCTACAAAAAATAACTATAACCCTTTCTTTTTTCTACTACTTTAGTTTTAACCCTAACCTTAAATCTACTACACTATTTCTGTTACGACCCGTTATGTATGGATAACAGTTGACCGACCCACTTGGGCATCAGGCGGCTAGGATAAGACATTGGTACTGCAGGATCACGGGAACAACAGGGACTCACTTGGAAACGGAAGAACTATGGTACAGGTTATGTGACGATAAGAAGGACCGACGAGAGATAAGCGGTCCTGATCTAGGACCGACATGAAGAAAGCGGTCTACACCCGGGGACCGCTCGGAAGATATCAGTCCTCAGTTGAAAGAAACTACTTAGACTTATATATAGTATGACCCTGAGCCTGGCTTATGGTCAAACTTCTATAGCTCTTCAGCAATCAACTTAGTATTCATCCTCACAGATACTCTCAGCTTACCTTCACTGCGAAATCACTTATTAAGTCTAAGACTGATCACCTTAGCCTCTGAAGAACCAATCTACTACAGCCTACAAACTATAACCTACGACCACGACCTAATATACTATTAGAACGTATTAATCCCTAGCTTCTGTTAGCAGACCCTACTGTTGGAAAGCTGACTGTAACACTTTGATTGCTCCTGTTCAGTAAGTTGACTATTAATTCCTACTAACAGTAATAAACGATAATATCTTCCCGCGCCTCTATTAAGTCGCCTACCCTGGGATCCTCGTCTACTTCAGGAGGACGAGCCACCTAAAACCTAGCCTAGGAACTAGGAGACCAGAAGATAAAGGACGACTCAGACAGCGAGGACGACACCAAAGAACTTAAGCGCCAGCTTAATAAGACTAATAGCGACTTCAAGATAATGCGCGAAATGTTTAACCAGAACGCTGCAGCCCTTAGCGAACTCCAGGAACAAGCCCGCAAGAACTAGGATCTGGAGAAAGAAGTCGCCACCCTCTAAGCTGCCGCTAACGTTATATCCGCCCCAGTCGAAGGATGAGAACGCCTTAAGCTCAACACGCCTTCCACTTTCAACGGAACCCCAGGACAACTTAAAGGACACCTAGTATAAGTCTGAACCTATTAGGCCTTCTATATAAACACCTTCCAAAACGACACCAAACGCATTATATATGCAGCCACCTTCCTTCAGGGATAAGCCCTTGCCTGGTTCAAACCCCTTCAATAGGAATAGCTTGACAACCCTGTCGAAAAATACAGCTAAGAAGTTAAGGATATCTTCTTCAGCTTCACAGGCTATATCAAGGCCCTAGAATCTCTCTTCCTTAACCCTGATGAACAAAGACAGGCTGAGCGAGACCTATCCCACCTACGACAAACCAAGTCAGCCACGCTCTACGCTGCAGAGTTTAGGCGATTAGCTGCAAGACTCCACATAACCGACGAAAGCAAAGTTTTTGCCTTTTATTAAGGACTTAAGGATGAGGTCAAAGACGAAATAGCCAAACTGGAGACACCTCCTAGCTTCCTCGCCTACGTCGAACATGCTATTAAGATTGATAACCGCCTCTATAAACGACGAAAGGAACGAGGAGAGAAATAACAAAACCTAAATTCAGGACGTAAGTACTAATAGCAGCCTCAACAGAAGTTTAACAGCTAGCAGAACGACAACAGACCCTGTAACAACTGGAATAACACCTGCTAGAGCACCACCTATAGATAATACAGCAGACCTATAGATCTCAGCATGATGACTAAACCTAACAACA